TTTTTGTAAGAGAGGGAAACATTTTTAAATACATTATTCAACGAACTCTCTATTCTTTTTCTTTATTATTTTATTGATTTATACAAAAATTTTATTTGTAAATCACTTTCCTAAATTTTTATAACCAATTTTAATATCCCATCTTGGACTTTTTTATGATGTGTGACTAGTGTCTTCTTGTGCTCCTTGTCACGTTATAATATTGATATTTGTGACTTGTTTTCTTGTGTAAATCATTTAAAAAGCAATAAATAAATAAATAAATAAGTGCTTTGATTTGGTGTTGTGGTCCAATACTATTGATAGGGTGGAGAATAAGGGAATGGGTATAGAGCACAAACAGATTCAGAATTATCATTATGGAGGTGTAAAAATATGTTTGCGAGTGTAAATTCTTAGAATTTTAAATTATTTTAAATTTTTTAATATAATATTTGATACTTTTTAAATTTTTAAGATGGAGTCACCTTTGCCGTACCCTAGATCCATCCTTACATGTCCATCCTCACAGAGGATTTGCATTAGATAGACAATGCTCTACTAACTTTGATTTAACTGTTATATACATGACCTTTCAAAAATGAAACTTGTATGCCAGTAAAAAAAAAAAAAACGAAACTTGTAAATTAAGTGGGCTCGCTTGCTTAGTTCTTAATTTTTTTTTTAAATACAAAAACAATATAAAACTTATATCTTGTGCCCAATAGTAATATGTGAGTTATTATGAAAGAACGATAGTATTTTAATCTCATCAACTATCAAAGTAAAATAAAATAAGAATAAATTGAAATGCATACTTACAATAATATTTATGATTATATCATATTAAGCTACAACATAAGACTTGAAATCCCTTGTCTAGGTTCTGGTTCACCCTTCTAATACTGTCATGTCCTAGTTTGAATCCAAAATTAAATTATAAAACTTCCTTTATAATTAAGAAATAAACAAATTGCATTAAATTTAAATTATGACAGCTTAATGGTACTAAAAAATAAGATTTAGAATTCAGAGAGAATGATGACAAATGATCCGAAGTCATAAGAGACAATAATGTTGACATGAAATAATTAAGGCAATGACCAACAAAAGAAGAAAAACATTAATCAAAGTTAAGACATTCAGTGTCCATAGAACTTGCACAATAATACACTCAACACTTTCACTAGAACTTTCACAGGAAAAAGAGCAGAGCATTATGGCCAATTATGCAAAAGCAAAACCATAATTATAAAGTTACACAAATATATAAGTCTCACTTGTTAGGACTATCGGGGGTGTTTGTTTGGATTTTTTTGAGTCAATTTATAGCTTTTAGCTTTGAAAAAATTATTTTGGACTGTTCAGTTAAACTTATTTCAAACAGTTTCTGATTCTAACAACTTATTTAACTTAAAAAAATTGATTCTGAGAAACTGTTCACTCCTTATTTTTGATTATCAGCTTCTGCTATAAACTTGTTAATTTACGATTATACTCTTAGATTTTTTTATTTTTTTAAAAATAGAAAAAGATCCAAATGGACTATACATTATTATTTATTTTTTTTATGAGAAATGTAGACAAGTAGTGAATAACAAAAAATAAAAGTTAATTGAAAAAAACTACTTCACAACTTATTTAACAAACACTACTCAGTAACTTAAATCTATAATCCAACAAGTACACTAAACAGATAAACAACTTCTGATTAAAGTCATAATTTATAATCTGTTAAGTTATAATCTATAATCTATTTTAACAGTTACATCAAACGGGACTGTCATCAATTTTAGGTCAGTTAAAGTTTGCCCACCACAACGTTCCCACACACATCATAAGAAATTATTAGGTGGTCTAAGAGTATAGTCAATTAGTGTTCGATAACATTGTGATTAGTTAGTGAATTAATAAATTGACAGTATTATTCAAACACAATCGAGTAATAAGAAATCTAACCAACAAGAATAATGTAAATACATCACATAATGTTATGAGAGCTGCTGCAGACCCCCAGTGAGGTGGCGAGTCCCCACTGACTGAAACCTAAAAAAAATAAATAAATAAATAAAACAATTTTTTTTTATCCAATCATGTCACGCCACCTCAGTGGGGTCTGAAGCATTTTTCATAATGTTATATCTGGACCAACTAATAATTTTCCCCACATCACCCTTGAATGTGACAGAGAGGTGCCTATGCAATCAACCAGAGATGATTGGGGTCAGTGGAAAGACTAATCCTTCATTTCTTGAACATTTGGTTGTCAACAACAGACAACTAAGAAAAAAATAGAGAAAAAATATTTTTTAAATATTATTTATAATTTAAAATGTATATAACACCATATTAAGTTGAAATTTACATTCACCAAACTAAGACTATTCATATTAGGATTAATGTTTAATGAAATATATATATATATATATATATTCATATTACAAAGGAACACATTTGAGAATTGGCCTTTTTAATAATTTTTTTTAACTTCTTATAATTAAAAAAAAAATGCAAAAAATAACGAGAATAAGTTGAGAAATGTAATAATTTTTTAATTTTTTGATAAAAAAATCTTGTTCATGTTTAATGGAGAATTTCATGTGCTAACTGATAACCTAACATACAATCCTTCTTTTTTATTTGGACTTATGACTAATTGTATAAAATATTAAACACTAAGCACAACACTGACTGAGCTAAATTTAAATCTACACTACATATTCATGTTCGACTTGTTAAATATGAATCAAGCAAAGTTTGAATAACTTATTACTTGGCTCAATGAGCATATATACATTATTAAAAATTAAGCTATCGCATTTGGTTTCTTAAAAACTCAGTCAATATCTGCTCGTTATGTAAATAAGTTAATCTTGAACTTATTTTGAAGCTTTATAAATTTCAACCGAAACTTAAACAACTTAATACTCAACTTATTTACGGTTTTAAGTCTAAGAACATGCAAATAAATTACCTTGTAGTAAATTATTATCTACTTGATAGCTTGTTAATTTTCTAGGTCTAGAAAGATCTGAAAAACAGAGACAACTCTTGGGGAGTATTACTAACCTCATGGATCCAACCATCAAAATTGGACAATATTGGTGGTGCTAAAAAGAAACGTCCCCTTTACCTTTTTTAGGAAAAGGATGTGTGAGAATGACCCAATGTGGCAATTGATGGGGCACATATTGTCCAAAAGTAGTTGAATTGAGAACAATTTTAAACTTTGAAGTGAGGGGTGTTAATGTGTGTATTTGTCCTCACTTGCCTAATTTGTCCTTTTTATTGGATTATTGGATTCCCATCGAGGAGACACCCTTCAACATACCCACTTAGTCAAAGACAAAAGGTCATCTCATCTTGATTGATTTACAGCCGTTTAATTATGTTTTACATTTTTTATATTTTAAAATATTCATATAATTTAATAATTATAAATTATAAATAAATTGAAGTAAGGAGAGAAGAAATTTGGGACCAAAAATTTCTGACATAAAAATTTTATCTCAAATCCCTCATCACTCTATCCAAAAATATTCATAATTGACAAATTATGTCTCGAAAAACTTCATGCAAATTCTTATCTAATCCAATAATTATATATAATTAATTTTATCTCAAATCCCTTATCACTCTATCCAAAAATATTCATAATTGACAAATTATGTCTCGAAAAACTTCATGCAAATTCTTATCTAATCCAATAATTATATATAATTTGTTATAGAAAAGAGAACACATAATTTCGAAATAGAAAGAATTGGCCCACCATGGGAGCTGCCATGACTACATTGCATGCCTGACCTGACCTGAGGGCTGAGTGTGTGGTGCCTAGTGCCACATGAGTAGTGTTACTCAAATGGATTTGTCAGTCGAGATTAAAAAAATATAAAAAATTAAATAAATTAATAAGATAAAATATTATATTTAAATCATAATTAATTTTTTTTTTTTTTCACAAAAATCATATAAGTCAAAAAATATTTGCCAAATGAACTTTTTAATCCCAAATTAAAAAAAAAAAATTCACAACTCCAAAAAACAAACTAAAATTTTTTTTCCAAATGACAACTTAAGAGTCCATAGATTTGGAATAAGATCCCCTTCAATAATTATTCTTTTACTAATCTTACAATGGTTAAATTTGAAAACATTTATTCATAAATCCCTCTTCACTTTCTTAGTTCACTTTCTTATATTTCATTTTATCCAAATTATTCTCTTACGTTCCAAAGTCCTATTAGAAACATAATTATCATAATATCCCTAATAATAATAGGATTAAATGCACATTAATGTTAAAATTAACTGTATGAATGTTCTGTAATATAAACATTCCCATTATCAAAATGCTCACATATAAATATTCAGATCACCAAATTACTAAGGGTTCAAAAAATATTTGTAAGAATAAAATTCTTCATAAAATATCTTAAATATGACAATTAAAATATGATAAATCAAATATCCAAATAATATAACTTATTAGAATATAAAAATATATTATGAACTAATTGAACTACAAATCCTAGAAAAAAATTCTTAATAAATTCCCCTCAACTTTAAGATATAAAATCACCGTTAAATCATCCAATAATTATGTTTTAAGGGGTCTTAAACTACCGTCGTCCAATCAGGATTTTCTAGTCTCAGTACTTCTGTGCCGCACTTTGCTTCTTTAAAATGGCCATATATGTACTTAAAAAAACACCAACCACCCTTTTTCGGTTTACTTGTTAATTTTGCCACCAAAAAGAATAATAATGCTAAGGTAACCGAGCACTGTTATATAATAACCAAGGTTATGTTTGTTTAGGCAGATTAGAATTCTTAAGATTAAATCCGAAGTCCTAGGATTATCAATCCTTTTGAATTGCATAACCTACCTCATGTTTAGATTAACTCCGGATCATAAGGTAAGATTGATAGTCCAAATCTCTTCATCGCTCCTCATTTTATACCCCACCCCCTATTGGTCTTGTAACATCAACATGGCAATTTCATAAGAACCCAAACAATTTCCAAAAAGCAAAGCTAATATATATTAATATGGTATTTAAATGACTGTACCATCAATCCCATCCAACCAACAAACTGTTAACCAAGTTATCTAAACAAAGTTGCCATCCAAAAAGTAACAAGACCAATCTCGGTCCAAAAGACGGGCAAAGGAGACACTCCATTCCATCTAAGACAAACATTACCGAAAAGCAGCAGGCTCTTGATGCGAAGGAAGGATTTTTAACATATTTTTGCCCCTCGGAAGTCCATCTCGGGATGCTGCATTAATCCCAAAAAGAAGTTTAGTTAACCAATCTTGAAGTGGTGAGAGAGAGAGAGAGAGAGAGAGAGAGGGAGGGAGTAATTTAAGTGCTCACCTCAGCCATGAACTTTTTGAGAAGCTCTTGTTTCTGCATCTCATCACTTGTTGGAAGGCCCATGGTCTTCTGTCGCTGGTCAAACTGCAAAGGAACACAAGGGCAACAAAATTGGAAATCAACCACAATGAAGTTGAAAACAACCCACCAATGATAGTCATAATTGTAAACAACAAGGGAAAAAAGAATACCATATATCGATAATACAGTTGTTTGACATGATAAGAATGGGTTCAAATGGTTTTCTTATAAAGAGAAAACATTGATCAGATCATATAACTAACAAACCATGCACTATTATATGTTTTCATACTGCACAAGCTTTTCCCATTCATAATAACCCCCGCGCAGAGGTGAAAGGCATTAGTGACCTACCATCATTTTTTCCACAGTGGACCGTGTTTCTGGGTCCAGATCAGACAGCTTGCTGCTTTCCGGTTCCACCTTTTGAGTATCAACTTCAGGATCACCTTTTACCAAACTTTTCCACCATTCCATTTGGTTCTGTTTGGTCAGAAGTACAGAGATGGATTTCTGATCCTCTGCATGAAAATATTGGTTTTCATTAAAAGGATAAAAGAAAAGAAAAGTAAATATCAACAACAATCCTGACAGACTAGGAATCAACAAAAAAATGTGCATGCAAGCACATTATTTGGAGGAGAGAATCACTAGGTTCATAGCATCCCTCAGGAAACCACTGACCGTTCCTGTATGTTAGCAGCTAAAAACAGGCACTTATTAGATTGTTTGACAATTGTGTCACACATTGCACATGCAATTTCTTGGTGAAAGTCTGTGTATGAACATACCTAAGCTCCAGAAGCAGTCTTCAACCTTGATAGACTGAAACAGTTCACCCTGCAAGCAAGCAAGATGATAAGTGGCCACTGGTAAGAAAAATTTTCTCAAGCCAAATTCAAAGTACAAAAATTTCAAAATGATGGTACTGCACAACTGCCAAACAAATATTTACGAATGAATCGAAAAACTTAAAACTTACATCAATTATTGGAGGTTGACCCTTAAGTCCAACTTTCAGATGGTTCTTCTTCATCTCACATGCAATCTCCCTCGATTTTGTTCCAGGAGGGACTGGAATATTAATGGTAACTTCTTGCAAGGTTTGAACCCAAGAGTAGTTATCCAGATCAAGACCATTGCCTTTATTGGGAGCTGGTAAGATATTTAAATTGAAATGTAGTATAAAATGTTAGTTAAACAAAAATATCATCTCATAAGATAAAAGTATAAGCAAGAGTCCACATATTGCCTGATGATGATCACACCATCTTCACAGAAATTAAACTCACAATTCTTACCAAATGAGATAAGTTACACGGGGAAAAACGTAATCACTTCAGGTATCTTATGGCCACCTGAAAGCCATTAGACTTTGCTATGATGTGACAAATGAGTAACGACAGGTTTAATGGAGATGAGAACACTGACTTGTCTTGTAAAGTTATCATAAGCAAACAGCTTTGGCCTAACATATAACTAATTTGACAACAATCTAAAATTCATTTAACCTTTTCAACTACTTTCAAAATAAATTTGGGTACAGAAGTAGTAGCAGGAGCAAGATTTTACTTCAACCATGAACATAAAAACTCACACATCAAAAGTTCACTGCTTGTCAACTTCTTTGTACAACCCCTTGTTGCATCTATGAATAGGAAAAATAATGTGCTACTATATTTTTATTCAAAGCTATAGAGACAACTCATGCATTAGAAGTATGCAGAGTCCCTTTCACCAGGCTGCCACACTTTACACCACGTCTAGGAGTAAGAACCATTCCACACTCCGTCTGCCCTAGATCCAGATTGATCCATGCTCCAGATACAACTGATCTGAAACTCTCAGCCTCCTTATAAAATCTTTCATAGCCAGTATTCAAAGACTTGACGAAATTACCATATCATGTTAATTTCATGCCGCCCCAAAATTTTTGGCATTTTAAACCCAGTTTAAAATTTTCTATGCAATGTTCCAGTACCTCGTGCTACTATTTCATTGCTCTTATGATTGTTCAGATTGTCATCTCAATTATAACATTTTCTAAAGTTCATTTTGCTGATGAAACTCTATACTTGCAATAAGAGTACATTCACTTAAGCCTTTCTACTGATTTGTCAATGCATTCCTAAAATAGTAAAATATCATACTTGTCAATGCATACCTCAAATAGTAAAAAATCATTCATCAATATAGCCGCAATGAATGATGCTTCGCAGAGGCTAAAATCTACAAAGAACCAAAAGAACAAAAATGTGTTCAACTAAGGTAGTTTTTTTATAAAACAGAAAACTCAAAATTAAGTACTGAAAACTAAAGTTCAAATTTGTCAATCCAAAAAACAGTTTGGAATGTATTGAAACTTAAGCACTGATTTTAATTAGGTTATTTGATATGTACAAGAAGCTAAAATTTGAAATTGATTCATTTTTTAATTTTTCTATTTAACTCTTTATATTGTGGTGGTGGGTTGATAGTGAAGTGTGTCAGCGGTGGTGATCGTGGGTGATATAGTAGGAGTAGGGGTGGTGGTGGAGTGATGGAGACAACAAAGATGGTGTGGCAACGCTAGTGATGGTGGTGGCAACAATGGTAGTTGTGTGGTGTTGCGATGGTACTAGCAGCACCACTAGCATGGTGGTGATAATGGCAATGTTGTGGAAGTGTTGGTAGTGGCAAGGGTGGTGCAAGTAGCGACGACGATGGTGATTGTAGTGGGCAAGAGTGAAGGCAGTAATGGTTGTGTTGATGGTAGTAGGATGGGATTGTAGTTGTGACACTAACAAAATAGCATTGCTTTACTAGTTGTACAACCAAGCAGGAAAAGCTAGTATGGCTTGGGCCGATTGTGTAAAACCATCTTGTTGTAGAGGCGTAGAGGTAATGCTGGCAATGATGATGGTAGTCGGTGGTGGTGGTGGTGGTGGTGGTGTGGTGTTGGTGGTGGGATGCTGGTGTGCAACTCAATGGTGTCATATGCATGAAAGCTTGGAAATTAGCATTCAACATTAATTAAGAAATCACTGAATACTTAATTTTAAGTTCTGAAATTTGGTTTATTAAACACCGCGCTAGAACATTATTTATTTCTCTCAAAAACTTTTCCCATCGCATTTTTTCTCATTTTTTTAAGTGAGAAGATAATGAAGTTTCTCATAAGAGACATTATACTAGTGATTGCAACAGATTCAAAGATTCTGGAGTGTAGCAGGAAGAGGGAATAACTAAGAAAATTTGCTCAATCCTCAATAAAATACACATAATTCCACTATTAATTTCTTCACATTAAATCACGAATTCTTATTCAACTAAAAAAAACATGGTCATATATAATCCCTCCAATCTTCTTATCTACAGTTTCTGAAGTCAGAATTGAGAAGAATGACAGGTATATATTTATCATTAAAAAAAAATTTAAGAACATGTGCTGTAGATGACATTAAATGTTCTTTCACACACATCATAGTAAACAAAACACTTAGGCCACCTTTACAGATAAAAAGTGATGTGGCAGATTGAGATATTTAATTATTGTAGTTGTCTTGCCTAAACAAAGTAGAAGAAATACAAACAAATAGTCATGATGTACCGCATAAATTTTTGTGTATGTGATTTTTTTGTATTCCAAAAGTGTTATATATATACTAGTGGTCGACACATAACATGTGTGTGCAACTTGAAAAAAAGTAATATTACAAGAATAATGACAAAGAAGAATTCACACTTCATATGTACTAGACTCATGGTTTCTGTTTCAAGTCTCATCCTCCTCTATATATAATTTTACACAAACACCAACTATAGGGGTAATTTGGAAAAACCCAAAACAAGAGACATAAACACATGAGAAGCTTCACTTTATAATTGTTTTTACACAAACACCAACTATATGAGTATTTTGGAAAAACCCAAAATATGAGACATAAACAACATGAAAAATAATAGTGTAGAAGATAGAAAATAGATGCGTACATATATATATATATATATATTTGGTGTAGATAATGAAAGCTTCTCTCCCATCTATGCCTATTCTATTTCCACTAGCTCTATAAAAAAAATATATTACAAAAATTAAAAACAAAATCCTGTTTTATTGAGGATGTATAACTATCAAACGTATGCTTCAAAGAACTTGCTTTCTTTACTTGCATTATCAACTTCTTTGGACATAACCATAATTTGACGCACATAGTAGATTAGATAAAACTAGGGCAACCAATTTTCTACCTTGTCTTGACAACCAAACAACATAACTAAAATTTTGGGTAAACTACCTATAAGTCTTACTAGTTGAACTTAATTCTCATCAAATTCTATTGAGAATAATTACTAGTAAAATCATCCTTAAAAAGGATTTTTTGTAACGATTTTTTACATGTTGCTAAAAATTGACATGACTTTTTTTTTGTAATGGTTTTTATAAGTTATCGTTAAAACTTACAATAGTGACATTTTTCTGTAATGAAAATTTTAAACTATCGCTAAAAGTTAAAAATTAGAGACACTTCTTTTTGTGACAATTTTTTAATAAAAACTAATAATTAATGATATTTTTTGTGACAAAATTTTTAAGCTATTGCTGAAAATTAACAATTAGTGACATTTTTTTAATAGTATTTGATGAAAATGTCACAGGCCCCCTAAAATTTTCTACTCTTTTCCCCACTATCTCAAGAAGCAAACAGACCAGACAAGCTACTTTAAACTAAACTCTATAAACCAAGAACATATTCATATTCAAATTCAACTCAATTTCATCATTACGTACACAAAAATGAAAAAAAAAATAAATACAAATATACATAATAAATATTAATGGGGCAAAATCCAAGATTCAAGAATACTACCTCGCTTGCCGTCAGTCTCCTTCCCATCCTCCGCCATCTCCTCTTTGTTCCCCTCCTTCCCTTTCACCGACCGTGACGGCGACGCCTGAGCCTCCTCCTTGGCTATTTTCTCAGCCTTTACGCTAGCCTCAGCCTTCTCCATCTTCTTCTTCCTCTCCTCCGCATCAACTTTCTCTTTCACATTTCGAACCAACGCGTTGACATCTCTAACAACAGAGTCACTCTTGAACAGATCAGATTCCCGAGAAACAAACTCAAAAACGGTCCCGAGAAACCCTAGAGGGTTCGAAGGATCGAACTCAGCGTTGAATTTCTTTGTCGAAGACGATGGCTTTGGAGTATGCTTTTGATCGTCTTCGCATTCAGTTAGTATAGCCATGGATTCTCAGAGAGTGAGAGAGACTCGGAATTAGGGTTTATGCGAAGAAAAGGGGTTTTCTTTTTTTTTCTTTTTTGGGTCTAAACTTGGAGAGCGGGTTTGTATATATATATAGAGGACCAAAGTTGCAATTAAAGAAATATATATAGATCCATAAGATACGGTAGATGGTTCTAGAAAAACATCTTCGATCATAATTTGCATAATGGGGCTTGAGATTATCCATATTACCAAGTCATCAGAATGTCTAGTGTAGTCTAGATTGTAAAGAATAATCGTAAATAAATGTTTATAAATATTAAAAATTATAATTACAATTTTTTTGTATGAATTTATAATAATTTTTTGAAATAACTACTGAATAGTAATTTCTCTTAGAATAATTGAGGATTTGTCTAATTTAGATGTTTTTAGCTATTTTTTAACTTAAAAATAAAAACATGTTTATTCTCGGCTGGGAAAAAAAATATGTAAAAACAATTAGAACAATTATAATAAAAAAAAAAATCTTAGAGTTTAATCATTGTAATAACATAAACCCTAATTTTTTAATTTTATCAATTTAAACTCTAATTTTTTATTTATTTTCAATTTAAATCATTCGCTTATTTTCGCTAAGCAAAATTAGTTTTAATTAATAAAAATAGATATATAGTTTACATTAAAAATAAATCAAAATACTGAGATTTAAATTGATAAAATTAAAATTTTATTTAATTATAAGGGTCAAATCTTGAGATTTTTTTTTTTTTTTTGTAAATTTCTAAAAGTTTTGAAAACCTATTCAACTTTTTTATTGATAAAGAAAATATATTTTTTTAACATTTATTGTGTGATTATTAAGTACAAATTTATGAATAAAGAGATAAACTGATAATCATTAATAACTGAAACGCCGAGTTTGGCAAGTTGTCAAAAAGTTAAAAAGTCAAAAAGTTACTCAAAAAGTTAAAAAGTTATCACTATTCACCAAAAGTCAAAAATTACGGCTGCACAACTCCCAATCCTAATTTTCCCTTACACACTAATTTATACAATTTTTTAATACACATTTCTCAAAGAGAATATATTTTTTTAACATTTATTGTGTGATTATTAAGTACAAATTTATGAATAAAGAGATAAAATGATAATCATTAATAACTTAAACGTCGAGTTTGGCAAGTTGTCAAAAAGTCAAAAAGTCAAAAAATTACTCAAAAAGTTAAAAAGTTATCACTATTTAGCAAAAGTCAAAAATTACGGCTGTACAACTCTCAATCCTAATTTTCTCTTACACACTAATTTATACAATTTTTTAATACACATTTCTCCATAAAAAGTCAAAAAGTTAACTCAAATATTCGTATTTTTTTCTTCAATTTTTTAGTCCAAAAAGACAAAAAATGCACTTATTTAGGACACTTTAACTTTAAAATATATACAAAAACATGTAATTTTTTTATAAAGATGTGTGAAAATTTTATTGAGATTCTAATGATATTTTATTTTTACTTTAATGACAATTATCATTAGTATAATCATTTTTTAGTTTTTTATTTTCACTTCATTTTTTGTTTTTCTCTATTTGTAATAAAAAAAATTCTTCAACTATTGTTATTTTTCTTTCAAACATTGCATACTTTAAATTAGTTTAGAATAATTATATTAGACTCTTTTAAAATTTTAATTTATATAACATTCAGCTTTTTTTATCATGACTTTATTAATTAATTATGTGGGTAAAAATAATATTGTCATTTTTTTGTACACTGAAATATATATTTTTGCTATTTATCTTCGTATCTCCATACCATTTATATTAATTATGATCATTTAATTTTACTAAAAAAAATTCGACTTAATTAAAATAAAATTATAGATCTTGCTATATTTTTTCTTCTAAATTTTAGAGGTCAGCATAATATAGTCTTTTATGGGTAGAGTGTAAAGTTCTCCCTATTTACCATTTTTTATATACAACAAAATTGTAGACCTTACTATATTTTTTCTAAATTTTAGAAAACGTCAGTGCTATTTAGTGGTGTTTTAAAAAGTTAGTAAAAAATTAATTTTTTTAGCCTATTTTATCTTTTGTAGATAAAAAATATGAGAGGTGATATGACTCAAAATGAGTAAAAAGTTAAAAGCTAACTTTTTATTTTGTTCCCAAAACACCCCTTAGTCATTTAAGGATAGAATGTAAAGAATTCTCCTCGTTTACCCTGTTTTATATATATAATTAATTCATTGAAATACATATTTTTTAACAACTAAAATAAATAAAAACAAAAGGATGAGTAAATAAGTAGACGATAGTTACAATGAAGCGTGGTTCGTGTGAGCGACAAGATTAATTGCATTATAGAAATGTTGTTTATTTTCAAATCTCAACATTATTATAAATGCATGGTAGAATCTAGAAAATTAATTATTGGGTTAATTACATTTAATACTCATACATTTTTTATCATAATTTTATTTTGGTTCTTTCAATTTTAATTGTGACAATTAATTTCTATACTTTAAGATGAGTTGTAATATCGTCCCTCCGTTCATCTATCGTGAATGAGATTAATGAACTTATCATATGAGCTAAACATAATATTTTTTCATCTTATTAGCGCCCCACACATTTTTCAAAATCTCATTTTAGTTCTTGCATTTCACTAAAATTTCATTTTGGTCCATTTGCTTTTAATTTTCGCTAATCTCATTAACAATAGGTGAACGAAATGGTGATATTGTAACTTGACATAAAAATGTAGCGAATCTATTGCCACATTTGAAAGTGAAAGACCCAAAATTACATTTCGGTGAAAGTACAGCAATACTAAATGTAATTAACCTCGTCAATTTTTTAAATGATGTTTTTCGACTGAACTCAATTGTAACTTAAGTCGAAGTATAAGACATCAACTGAGATAATTAAAAAGTCAATGAACAATACAAGATTCGGTGTAAAGTATAAGAGTGCAAAGTATAATTTATTCAAAATTAAATTATTAATAATGAATAGTAATTTTATTATTTATATTATAGTACATAACAAATAAGTGATGACATTTAAAATTGAAAAGGAAAGCAGGTAAATATTTTTATTAGATTACAAATATTTATGGACAACCCTTCTTCACAATACAATAATACTACATCCCCTAATTTATCATCCAAATCTCTTTAATCAATGATGATTTTTAAGAGTGATACATTAGGTATCAACATAGCTCTGTACATGGATTGTTAATGCCTAGCAAAAAAAAAAAAAATGGAAAAAGCTAAAAACTGTGGGGAAGTATTTTGAGATGACGCTACATAGGTGTCAGTTGAGGTGCCACGTGGACAGATCATGTTTGTCGAGATGTTTAGGGCACTGCCGAGGTATTTTGCGGGGATACCAGAATCCGAGATATTTGGATAGAGAACTAGAGTCCTAAATGACATCAAGTTACCTATTTAAATAGAGATGGGACTCTTGAGGGAGTTCATCTTAATTTGAATAGTGTGAGTTGTGATAGATGTTTACCTTGTAAATGATAGAGTCCCATGAAGTAAGACTTTTAGGAGAAATTGGACACTGATCATTATAAAGTAAGGCACCCTCGTGGGTCTAAGGTATGCTTTTATTTGTGATGCTTTGACTTGTGCATTAAGTACTGTTTTGATATTTTTGAGAGATAAGATTTACTGACTTGATCGTCGGAATGTCCTCGGATGGACGAACCACCACGGGAATTCTTATCTTCTTGTTATAGGTTGTTAGGCTTAATCTATTCTGTCGATGCTCTCCAGCTAAGTTCCCCTTTTGGTTGTGTGGTTGGAAATCAACACCTACAATTTGGCGCTGTCTATGGGAACTAAATAAGAATAGATGACCAATAACGGACAGGAAGTGAGAATTGGAGACGACATCCACAATGAGAAGGAGGAGCATGTGGATCCTAACACTAAAGGAGGGAACCATAACGAAAAAGTGCAAGAAGTGAATCCTGAGGCGAATAATGTCTCCAAAGGTCAAGAAGGGAACAAAAAGGGTAACCGAGATGAGTACTATTGTGAAAATGACTTTCAGGCATGGAATGACAGATGCCAAAGAAAAGACGAGGAAACTGAAAAACATGGCAAATAAATTGACAGACTTATAGATAGTGGTCAACGTCATAATGGAGAACAACGTGATACAACCAACATCCCCATTACAGGACACGCCGACACCAACAACCAAAACTGGTGCCCAGGAGACAAGATCTTGGCCTAGATAATTAGGTCCGAGAAGAGAAGACCTCAACCTAAGTGAGCAGATCCCATATCTCAAAAGGCAAAATCTCAGCCTAGATGAGTAGGTCCCATAAGAGAAGAGCTCAATCTAAGTAAACCGATCCCAAATCTCAGAAGACAAGATCTCAGCCTAGATGATTAGGTCCGAGAAGAGAAGAGCTCAATCTAAGTGAGCCGATCCTAGATCTCAGAAGACAAGATCTCGACCTAGATGATTCGGTTTGAGAAGAGAAGAGCTCAGGCTAAGTGAGTAGATCCTAGATTTCAGAAGACAAGATCTCGGCCTAGATGATTAGGTCTGAAAAGACAAGAGCTTAGTCGAGTGAGCAGATTCTAGATTTCAGAAGACAAGATCTCGATCTAGATGATTAGGTCTGAGAAGAGAAGAGCTCAGCCTAAGTGAGCAGATCCCAGATTTCAGAAGACAAGATCTCGGCTTAAATGATTAGGTTCGAGAAGACAAGAGCTCAGCCAGAGTAAACAGATCCTAGATTTTATAAGACAAGATCTCGCCCTAGATGAATAGGTCCTAGAAGAGAAGAGCTCAACCTAAGTGAGTAGATCCCAGATCTCAGAAGACAAGATCTTAGCCTAGATGAGTAAGTCCTAGGAGAGAAGAGCTTAATATAAGTAAGCAGATCCCAAATCCTAAAAGACAAAAAGGAAGCACACAAGATCAGACTGAAGTTGGCCAAATTCTGTCTGTCGGCAGAAGGCCATCTATATAGAAGGGTTTTTACTGGACCTCTATTACGATATGTACATCATTCCCAAGTTGAAGACTTTTAATACAAGGTTCACAAAAGAGTATGTGAAAGCCATGTAGGGGGGAGATCCCTTGTCTATAGAGCTATATC